GAAGTGCAGTGATACAGGTTCAAGAGTGACTGAAAGTTAATTTTGTTATGTTTTGCCATGTTTGCTTTGTTTTGTGTGCATGGTCTTTTACTTTTTCTTATCTTGGAAACAGAGCTGAAATTTCTGATGTCAACCACAGGGTTGCCAAGGTCACTACAGGAATGTAGAGGTGACTCTTGCTTGCAAGCAGTGTTGTGTTACAAACGGTTATTTACAAAGGGTTGTATGGGATGTAAACGGTTTTTTAAAAGAGAGAAAAAATGTTATGTTTTTAAATAAAATCAGTGTACCTTATTGCATTGTTGTATTTTTTGTTGTTTAATTGCTCATGTCTCAGGGAGTTTTGAGGCATTTTCAGCGAGCTAGTGATATTTTGGTGTTCTACTGCTAAGAGAAAGTCTGTCTTGGCAGTGGAACACCAAAATGGTGGTAACCTGGTGAAAATGGTTAAAAAAGGCCTGAGATGCGGGCAAAGAACAAAGAATACAGCAAGGGAATAAGATAAGTCGATTTTATTTAAAAACAAGATTTTTTCTCTCTTTTTAGAAAAACCGTTTACATCTCATACAAGTATTTGTAAATAACTGTTTGTAACACAACAGCGCTCATGAGCAAGAGTCACGTCAGCGTTTGTGTAGTGAGGTTGGGCCTTCTGTGTATCAAGACAAAGCAAAATTGATTTCTGGTAAGTGGGCTGATGTGAAGGGGGCTAAGTTTCGTAATTTTGAGTTGCTGTGGTACCAATGTTGAGAAAGGGTCCTTTGTTCAGTTTCAGCGCAACTTGATTAGAGTATTTCATTTGTTCAAAGAATAATTTCACTCCTTAAAGGAAACTGAATAACTTTTATTCAATTTGAGAAGTTGAAAGTAACAAACAAATCAGTAATGGTAAAAATTAGTTTCTTGGTTTGTTGTTGTTGACAGATTGTAACAAAGTTGATGAGAAGTGAACTCAAAAGTGTCTCTCAGGAATCAAAATAAAGTTGAACTATACTAAAGAGATGTTCCAAAAACGAGGTATTTTCAGTTAGTTTTACTGAATAATGATTTAGTTATTGTATAACAGATGATAAACAAGTATGATTAGAAAGCACAATGACTAAGATTCTAGAAGAAAATTTAATTACAGCCAGAAAATAAAAATGACTAAGAAAAGAAGGGTTTGTTTAAAGTTAAGTGGAAATTGAAATTGGACATTTGCCAAGTTATATTTTCCAGAAATGTAGAAGGGTTTTTACATCTTTCATTGATGTCTAATCAGCATTGGTTTCCTTAGTCATTTTTTATTGTCACAACAATAATATAGCGGAGCTCTCGCGCGCGAAGCGCGCAGCGGAGCACCATGGGTAACAAAATGTGGTAAACTACCCATCCGAGAAAATTTGGTAATCACGTGACCGTACACCGACCGCCCGCCCGACCGTCCGTCCGCACCACAGGCATACCAATGTTTACTCTCACACTTTCTAGCTACTTTGGGAGCCCAGGAGAAAGCTGATTGCACATCAATGGGCATCAACGTCGTCATCAATTGACAGCTGTCAAAACAGGGTATCCGCTGACCAGTATCACCTGACCGTATCGCGGGCTCAGGTGTCGACCCATCAAGGTCGAGTATTTTTTTGAAGTTATCCGCTGAAAATTTACTCGTTTTGAAATGATCGCAGGCTCACGCTTACTTTTTTTAATTTTTAATTCACATCAAATATGTTGTGTTTATGTCAGTATCGCCCAGCACTATAACGATTTTGATTTCAAACTGACCGCAGACGCAAAAATTCAGCCAGTTTTTTTAAAATACAGGCGGGGAAGACCTTTTCTAACCATGGTCATGTGTTGGTCACGCTCCACGTCCAATTTTTATGCTCTGATTGGTTAAAATTTGACAGGTGAGTTCATGCGTAAAATTTATGCAGCATCTTGAAAGTTGTTTACTTTGACAGCTGAAGCTGACAGAGTTTTGAGTCAACTTGTGATGTTTTTAACTGTCTTTTTCCACTGGATGTAAAAAATGAAATACAGCTGCTATCAAGAGTGTTCTCTTATTCATGGCTGGTTTGCTTATTGGGTTTTTGGTTGAGAATGCGTCGCTTGTCAAAGCCGATAATCCGATTTCGGTTGGCATCGTTTTTGTTTTTCACCTTGCTGGATGCGTACGAGAATTATAAAGGCTCAAGCGATCCTTGCCTTTCTTGCTAGCTTTCAGGAGCTGCATCTCAAAATATGGTAAGCCTGAGTAATTATTGTATTTATATCTAATTTCATGAAGTCCAGTGGCACAGTTTATGAAGCTAGTTTATGCACGTTTGTATTAAGATTTGACTGAGACACTGATCTGACCTAGTATGAGGTTTGATATAAGCTTAAGCTTACAGAACTTTAAAAAGCCTTTAGTCGATATTAATTCACCGTAAATAGAACGAAAAAATTTCCGAAGAATATTTAGTTATAATTTTGGCTGTACTTGGCTGTAGAAAGAAAGCTTTGAGCGATTTTCTTGTCGTGAGTTCATCTTTGAAAAAAGGAAACACCGGGAAACCGGCGGCTTAAAACATAACCTTAATCTTTAAGCTTACTAGTGAAGACTTGAGGATTCTTAGAGACACCTAAATACTCATTTGTTTTCGTGAATGAAAATTGTTGTCTCTGTAAATGTTCTACCGAATTATATTTCTTTATTGATTGTCGGTAGTCTCAAAAGTGTAATTTTCATCGCTTTGCCGTTTGTTTTCAGGTGTTCATAAACATCGCTTGTAGGATTACTCAAAATGCCAAGCGTATCAAACGCTTTTTAAGATTACACATGGTTATAAAACCGTTAATAAAAAATAGACTCAATAAATTCTTTATCACGTTGAAGCGTGACTCTTTTAAAATTTCTTGGCAAATTTGGCGCTTGTCAAAAGTTAGAACCGGCTGGCCGTATAGGTGATTTTGGACATTTTTTGAACGTTTTCGCTAATTAAAAGTCCACGCGTGCTTCGATGGTCCTGAGCATTGAATGAATGCAATTTTTCTTGAAAAATTGTGAAATACTGCATTTTGTACGAGGTCTGCATGATAAAAACAGCGCCTCATAGTACTCTTTCTCCTCAGATGTGGTGTTTAAAAAAAAATAAAAGAATGGTTTGCACGCACCCAGATTTATTGGCAAGAATTTGTACGCTTGTCGAACGCAAACAATTCGGCCTGATTTGTTTTCCAAGAATTTGTTTTCCACGCCTTATCTACTGTGATCAAGAGCCATTATTGCTCTTAAATGTGACCGAAGACTATTTTTTTGGTGTACAAATAAGGCTATATTAACTCGATACAAGATTTTTTTCACTCCAAAATAACTTGGCTTTTCCCTCAAAGGTCACATGTATGTCTTTCAAACGTTTGAGGCTAGAACGCGAGCAAATCAGGCAGATATTACTGGACTTGGAGCGATTGACCTCTGACACGAGTTTCAAATTAGAAAATATGTTTTTAAAGCGAGCGGAACGAGATTTTCGGGTCGCGAGGCGGCCCAGCTAGCGATAAAATCGCGATAAGTCTTCGAACCGCGAGCCAAATTTTTATATAAGACGAAAGACTTCTTCGAAAGTGTAAAATATTACTTGAGAATATAAACAACAAATCTCTGTCGGCGGTGCGGTCCGGTAGGAAATCTTGTCGAGTCAATTTGACAGTTCTATTGTACTTTGAAGAAAAAACAGATGACGCTCGCGCGTGCGCATAATCGGGACACTGTCCCTTTAAGTTAACTGATTTGAGGAATACAAAATTATTGTTTGATTTAAGTTATAAATTTATTAATGGGAGCTTCGCTTTTAGCTGTGGCTAAATCTATATATTAATATTGTAAACAGGTTGTTGATTATGAAATGTAACATGAGGAGTAATGAGTATTGATAGGAAACGCAACTCCTTTTGTTTACAGCAGAATCTTGTCAATTACTTAATTATTTAGTAGGGGTGTGTTGATCTTGAGTGCGATGTAGTGTTCCATCTGTTTATTCCCCGATAAAAATAAACAACAACAAGAACTAAAAACAACTAAAAGCCACAATTGGGGCTTAAATAGGAGTTGTGGATGCCATTGGTGAAGAATGCAAAATTGTTCACTCATCCGCCTTCTGATGGTATTTCCTCCATCAAGGGGTTCCACTACCCTCCCCAGAGTGCTCGTCTGCCTGAAGCCGTTGGCACAAATGGGTTAGCTAGGTTAATTAACAGCCGCCTGGCACTTGGCTTATGACCATTACAGGTTGTCTAGCTTATGATCATAGCTGTAGCAGGGCAAATGTACTAATTGACCTGACCTGACTAGAGAAAAAGAGAATCAAAGGATCTAGGAAATAAAAATGACTCAGTTTGGTAACTTGGAGTAGATTGTAGATTTTGAAAGCCACATGGTTTGAAGTATGGAAGTTATTTATGTTGTGAATTTCTTGTTGTTTAAGGAACTTTGTTGTCCTGAGTCATTTTTTTTTTGGATAAAGAGAACAACTATGATAATTGTAAAGGGCTTGTCTATTACTCTGTGAAGTACTCTAGATTTTAATGTCTGTCGGTTTGAAGAAATATGCTTAAAAGGTAGTGACATTTTTGACCAGACAGGTTTATTTATGCAAACGATGAAGCAATTCTCATAAAAAAAAGAAGAGAAAAAAGGTATTATCGAAAAAAGGAAGCAAACTAAAAGTTCTTCAAAGTAATTTAAGACAAGTGCCCCGGTTCAAGCTGAATACGTAGTCGTAATAGTATTGTAAAACGAAGTTAAGCTAAGTTCTCCAAGGAAATAGTTGTAAGAGAGAATAGCTTGAAAAGTTTGACAAGTACTTACATTTATTTGAAACGAACGTCATCCACAATTAATGATTGTTCTTTGAAATCAACAAAAACGTTTTACGCGAGAAAAGTTGAGCGAAGACTTGTTCTTCCGGTGATTGCAATGTCACATCAGAAGAAACGTGTTCCAGCATTGTCTGAAGAGTTGGTGTGAACACTTTTAGTCAGATAGGTTCAGCATTGTCGTCCGGTTGGACTTGTATGCGAACGGATCCTTTCAGGTGACATGAGGAGAGAGGTTGCACAGTGCTGCAAATGGCACATTTGATATGACTCGCAGTGTTTGTTGTAACTTCAGTGATTTGTTTTCCACATTTCATGCACGCCAGCCAAGTCTTGTAACTATCAGCCAGTAGGATTTTTGGAACGTAATTTGATACGGCATCGAAAAGTGTGGAGAAATCTTCTTCAGTTGGGGGTTCATAGGATTCTTCAGCAATGGTAAAGGTTGTTGCAGGAGTAGATGTGAGATACTTGATGGAGTTGAAGATCTTTACACACACATCTGTAATGGAATAAGAGTTGTGATTTGCGACTTCTTGGATGACTGTTCCCCACAAGGTCAGGCGACAGGTGACGGTATCGTCAGAAACAGTGCAACATTCTAACGTAGAGACTAAATAACCATCCTTCATAAGGATCTGTTAGACACTGTCTAGGTGTAGAGTCAAAATTCCTTTGACACATGTGAGTTGGTTTTCCTCTAGGCGGATGATATCTTGTACAGTCATAAACTGGTGGGAGCGATCTGCTTTAGGTTCAGCATATTTGAATTAAATATTGTTGTTGTTTGCTGGGTTGACGCAGGATCTTGTGGTGAGCGTGTGATAATCAAGTGATATTTGTTCATATAAATGTTGTTTATTTAGAGGAGGATATGGGGTGGATATTTTTTTATTTGAAAGAGGATGAGTCTAGAACTGCTCTTTTGATGTAAAGAGAGATGTTCGTGTACAAAAGTGAGTGACAAGATGTTATGAGAATCTGGTTAGAAAGTTGATCTGGTAAACTAGTTATGAAAAGTAGTTTATTAAGTTGAACTGGTAAGAATGTCCAGAAAAGCTTGTTATCAAGTTGTACTTGTACAAACTTGTGATGGGAACGTGATTATCAAGTGATATTTGTTAATCTAAGCCGCCGACACAAAAGTAGCAAATTGTAAAGGTTTCACATGCAAACTGCGTGACAATAGAAGTGACCTAGTGAGGGTCTCATCACTTGAGCCAGGAAAGCAGTGCACATGAAGAGCGTGTTACCCGCAATGGTGTTTCTCGCTTTGCTGAAGATTCGCCTGGCAGCCCTGTAAGCATGATTAAGTGGAAAATTTCCAGCCAAGATCCCGGGCATAACAGTAGTCGGATCAGAGCTAACGGGGTTGACTGGGTGGTTGTATAATGACAAAGTTGATTTGTGTTTTTTTTTAACTAGGGTGCGTGGATGTGTGCAAAGCTAGTCAGCCCGGCTCAGGAAATCAGGCCGTTGGTTTTATAGCGAAATTTTACACTCTAGTTTTGACCTCACAGAGTTTTCAAAGCCCCCGATCAGACACACAAAATTTCAGACCCCTCCTCCGTTAACAATTTTATACCCCTTTTTCTATATTAGATAAAATTGTGGCTTTATTGATGTGCTCTGTGTACAAATATTATCAAAAATAAGCGAAAAGGAATCCTAAACGGATAGACTAACGACGTTAAATTAAGTGTTAAGATGTTTCCGGGTACTGATAACACTTTTGACAACAATGAGTTCATTTCAAAAGATTGTAACCATGCTATTCCTTCATAACCAAATTAGGACTTCCACAACAACGTCACTGGAAGACCTAAAATCACTTTTACCTTTCAAAATTATTGTCGTTTGTTACCTCATATTAAATTCTAGGAGAAACAAGTTTCAATAATTAACAAAGTACAGCCATTATGTTACAAATTAACGTCTAATATAACTGCAAGTATTCCACTTGATGGATCTCAACGAACCCCTAAAATATACAACGCTGCTGCACTTCTGGCAGATCCCTAATACAAGTGTAGGACATCAACGGCCAAATTTAGGGTTATACAACGTCTTGTTTAGAGGAGGTGATCGGGTGGATAATTTTGTACCCCAAAGAGGATGAGTGTATAAATCGTCTTTTAGGAAATTAAATTGAAGTGAAAAGGAAATTTTCACGTAATCTGTAGTTAGCTTAACGTAATCGAGGCGGGAGGTGTTGAGGAGAATGAAGAAAATAGAAGAAAGCCTAGCTGTAATAACAATTTTACAAAGAGGTCTAAAATAATATACTGCAGAATGTGTTGTGATTTGCTAAAAATGATTCAGTCTATTTTCTAAAAATATGTTACATCTATTTTAGAGCTTGGCTGCTGGATGTGAACTAAAGTATCGACTTCAACGTAGTTGTCCGTATGGAAAAGAGTATCGAGGACATGTGAGGAACATAGTAAAGAGAACAAGTGAGGAACATATATGGGTACAATGAGTTCTTGGAGAAGAAATGAGGAAATTGAAAGCATTGGCACTGGAAAAATGTGGAGAGGCACAATCTTATCGAAAAGAAAGTATTAAAGAAAGGTGACGTAAAATGGAGTGTTGTTCTTAAACAGGATTGTTGAGCAAGGGAGCGAAACAATGTCTATTATTGCACAGTGAAGAACAAAGTGAATGTATTAATAAATCAGAGAAGGAGGATGATGACGGTGGCGAATTGAAGTCTGATTATAAGAAGAGTTGATCTTCACTGATGTGGATTAATTTGCGGGATCTGGAGACAATAAAGAAGTGAATAAAGAGCAATAAGAAGTATTTGATCAAGTTATTGATAAATGTGGAGGACTACTGCACTTAAGAATGGAGTATAAAGCCGATTTTTAGTGCGAAGTCATATTCCTTGGATTGAATAAAGCGTTCGTTGATTTGTAGCAAGAGGTACATTTTTCCATGAGAAAATTGTATAAGGGCTGCTCGAAGACCTCCCAAAAAACCTTAATTCGTCTCTATTATTATCCACCCCCTTTCATGGTATATTGTAAGGAATAACCTCTGGCTAAAGTGCTTAAATTCGAGATCCTTACCAGGTGAGTTGTAAAGAAAAGTGTTTTAGATTAGCGATAGTAAGCTCATTGTACTATTTCAATCACATGAAGAACTAAGTAAAAAAGTAGAGAGGAATTTAGAGTTTCTTGTGCGTTTTTGGTTTTGTTAGTACAAAGTTGCATAAATAGCGATTTACGAAGTGCATTACTTTACGCGATATGTATATTCCAGTTGTTTATCAATGAGAAAAAGCTGAACAGCAGGGTAAGTGCGATGTAAGGTGTATTTGTGATTACGGCCATTAACTCATGAAAATTGAACCTGGCCCGTTAATAAGGGGTCGGGGGGATAGGTGAGCAGTTTCCCAGAAATCTGAATTGATCGTGTTTGTTCATTAAAATAAATAAAATAAATAAATAACTTTAATAGTAACATCCTCGTGAGGTTTTTCAGGAACTATTTACAAACTATTTCCAATTTATAAAAGCAAAAATGACAATAAAAACTCGAAATCACAATTTATGATGGTATTCTACTAAAATCTAAAGCTTATGAAGGAAATGTCTGCCTCAATAGTGTGTCTTTCAGGGCGCGCTTGAAAGATGCCAATGAGGCACTTTGCCTAAGTTCATTATGCAAGTTATTCCATATGTAGGCCCCTCTGTAGGAAAATGTGCGCTGGCCTATAGCCGTTCTGTATAGCGGAATCTGCAAAGAGTTCCGTGTACGAGTGTTACGAGTATGTATATTTGAGCGCTTGGTAAACTTGCTCGTTAAGTATTGAGGCGCAAGATCGTTCTGACATTTAAAGGTCAAAACGGAGTCTCTATAGAATAATTGTTCTTTAACAGGAAGCCAGTTTAGCTCTCGAAGCAAAGGTGTTACGTGGTCAAACTTCCTAGAGTTTGTTACGATCTTGCTGGCAAAATTCTGAATAGATTGTAATCTGTTTATATTCTGGAGTGTAGTATTAGACCATACAGATGAGCAGTAAAGCATCTTGCTAAAGACTAATGATGTTATTAACAACTCTAGTGTTTCCTTGTCGAAGCTCCTTTTGACTCTATTTATTTGGCAAAGCTTTGCGAAACAAGATGACACTACACATGAAATATGGTGATCGTAGGTCAGATGGGGGTCAAGAAAGACTCCCAAGTCCTTGGCAGAGTCTGTTGGCTTCAGTGTTTTACCTAAGAATACCACTCTAGGGTCTTCTGGTAACCTGCTTAACATCTGTCTGGTACCGAGGAAAAGGAGTTTAGTTTTATCGGGATTGATAAGTAGATGGTTCTCACAGCACCATTGCTTGTCAACACTGGAGAAGTTACACTGGGAAATCCGGAGCTATAGATGTACTGCAGGAGTATAGACGTTAAAAAAAACAGTAGGGGGGAGGGGTGGGCGCAGTTGGATTTCGGTAATCAGCACTCGTTTAGTTTAAACTAATATGAAGCTTAAAGATTGGTTTCCGTATGATTACTACTTTTGCTGCAATGGTTATGATTGTTGTGGTAAGTGGAAAAAAATGTTAGTGATTGATGGCTTTTATAGTATGTCTGCCATATGTAAGATCTCTGTCTGAGTGAATGAATATGGTGGGGTTTGGGTCTGATAAGGAATTGCAGGTTTTCTTTGGGTTATGATAAGAATGAGAAGTTTACCAACGACGTTGTTGATTCACAAACGGAATGGCTGGCCCAGCTTAACTTGATCGGGGACTCGGTTTACCCACCAAATGGAAATGATTAAGCAAAGCAACGTGAAACCATCACAAGCACGTAGAGAATAATTGAGTTGAAAATGTTTTGGAAAGATTTACAGGCAGTTTTGTTGCTTTCTTACCAAGAAAGCATGATTTTAGAGGAAGAATTTGTAGTTTTGTATGACGAATACTCTTCGAAGAACCCACCATTCTGTGAAGTCTGTGCTCGCAGCTCAAGAACGTCTCGACATACGGTGTCAGTGTCATTCTGCAAAAATAGTTCGGGTTGAATTAAGTCCAGGGTACCAAGAAAGTTTTGTGCGTAAAATGAGTGTCCGCACGCAGTGTACCCTAGTCGCACCTAGTATTTTTGCTATTGCTACAATCGATTGAAAATATTGAATTGCATATAATTGCTGTGATTACAACGATTTATACTAGAAAGGAACCCTATTTTAATGTTTGTTGTATACAGACGCTATGGAGCCCACAAACCCGGAGCCCTCACCGCTACCCCCTTGTGCTGCCAGTCGATAAATGTCCCGCGGTTGATATTTTATCACCAGCGGTCGACGGATTTAGAAGAGGAAACAGAGTATCTGAACAGACTAGGGCGATTTAATGGAGCATTTTTTGCTTTACGAGTTTGGGGCTTATATTTGGAAGGGCTTATACATGGAGGGGCTTGTTTTCGAAATTTTCAGTAGATGTTGGTTATAAACGGGGAACCCTGTTGCAATAGGCAGCTTTACTGTGTTTTTATGTGAAGCTTTTTGGAAAGAAAAGGCAGTTGAGTTCCTTGAATGGATGAAGTTTGCGAGAAGCCAGTAATTAGGCGATGGAGCCCATGCACTTGTTTGACGCGAATCGTTTTACACTGACCTCTCACAGTTT